TATATATATATATATATATATATATATATAACACAATATAAAAATAAATTGTTTATAAGTCTAAAGCTTAAGGTTGATAATTTTCTAAATTTCCTTCCTCATCCAATTGCCTCTCCTTATGATTAAGTTTCAGTGAAATTTGTTGTAAACATGCTGTCATCTCCCCCTCCCCCTTTTTTTTACATAGCAAATCACTTCAAGGAGAAAATCTGATGCATTTTTTCTAGAATTCTTCTAGAACAATATATAATATATATATATATATATATATATATATATATATATACACACACACACATACATACATATACATATATACATACATATATACATATACACATATATACATACATATATACATATACACATATATACACATATATACACATATACATATATACATATGTATGTATATGTGCATACTCTGGGACTGAGTTCCCAGCTTGCCAGATGTTGTTTTTAATTTATGCAACAACCTGGTAACCATAAGCAGTGAAAAACTGCATATAGGTAAATAAGATAACGATAGCGAGAAGGGACTGGATCTCCCTAAGAACTAGCATAATTTTGTTACATAATTTTGAGAGTTTTGCCTTTCTTTTGCTTTTTTTCACTAATGCTAGCTAATGTAAGCTGATACTATGAGCTAAAGGTAGTGCTATCACACTGAGAAGAAGACATCTGGATATGTAATAGATGGCAGCAATGCTATACAAAAAGGTTAGATATTTGTAGTCATCTTGTAGATTCCTGGATATTTGCAAGCCAGTTTGCAATCCAAATTTGAATAGCTCACGTTCAAGAAAGGCAATGTTGTCTAAGTACTTACTACAATCCTGGGAATAATGGCGATTCATGGCAAAGGTGAAGGTAGGTGAAGAAGGACTAGCCGAGAGCACCGGGGCAGAATTCATGGCACTGGAAACAACAGAGGAAGCAGGGATGTGTTTTGCCTTCAAATCAATGCTGGGGCTTGTTGGTTCATCTGAAACAGAACAACCATAAAATGATGAATTGTATACAGATGCATTTATATACATTTACTATATTGCATATTTTATATGTGTGCCAAGACAATTTCTCTTCACTCAATGTGGCCCAGGCAAGCCAATAGGTTAGACATGCCTGCTTTAGATGGTTTTCTCCTATCCAAACTCTCCAGAAAATGAGGCAAGATTTCCACAGGAATTCCGTACCTACATAGTCACGATATTTCATTCCAAATCTCTGGTTGAAGTCTTCTAATCAGGTCCATTCACTATGTATTACATCTTATACAGTAAGAGATTTGGGGGGGGGGGGAGACTAGCTTCTTCAGCACCGTCACAAGAATGGTGTCATCCAGTTCCCAAAATACTCAAAGTACAGCAAGAAAGAATTCAGGATGCCCTCATCATGGAATTTCCCAAATTCCCACAAAAACATGTAATCATTTCTAAATGGTACAGCCCATGGCTGCAGATGTATAGGTAAAGGTGACTAACAGATGAAGCAAGGATACCTAGAATCTGGAAAAGAGATGGTTCTGGCATGGTAGATCAGAGGCCAAGATAGAGAAGAAAGTAATATACAGCTTATCCAAATTCTAGCCTCCTCATTGAATCAAGCAGAGTGACCCTTACATCAGTTTCACTATCACTCTTTTTATAAAAATAAGATTCCCTTTTCTTACTCTCTGAATAGAGGGAGAATGAATCATCGTTCATAGGATATAAACTGTACATATACAATATTTATTTAGGGAAGAAGATATTGTGCTGATTGATTGTTTGGAAAAGTGGATGCAAGCTCTCCAATTTCACTTCACCACTTCAAAACTGCCTCCATGAATCACTTACAGACATGTGCCTAAAATGTAAACAAGGTTGGGAAAACATGCAAGAATGGCTTTTTAAATTCCTCTTCTCCAGCAATGTACATAGGACCTGTCAATATTTTTTCCATATTACATGTTATGCCTTGGGGGTATGGTGTGTGTGTGAGAGAGAGGGGGGGGAGAGGGGAAGGGAGGGAGGGAGGGAACTGGAAAGTACAGGGCAGGCTGCATATCTTAGTCACATAATCAGAAGAAAGACTTAAAATGGACACATTCCAAACTGCTGAATCGAGGCCATTTTTAACCCATTTTTTCTTCTGCCAATGTCTCTGTCCATCCCAAATTTTCTTTCTGTCTTCAGTGATTTATTGTAATGATGGACAGCCCTGAGCCCTCCTACACAATTTCTTTCCATCAATTCATTGATTTGGAAAAATAACAATGTGCAAAAAAATCCTTACTGCACCACCAATGTTTAATTCCTCTTTGCAAGCATAAGAGTACAAACTGTATTAAGGACTATATATTATTCATAAATATATCAAAAGATCAAAAGCTATTCCATTCTACAGGAAACCATCCCACCTCATTAGATGACCATTCAGGCAACCTTGTTATTCTCCTTGTTTAATCTAGCTAAATGGCAAGTATCTTAGTTAAGTCTTTATGATAAAGTCTGACCTAACAAAAATCAGGGAAGGAATACCAACAACTGGTTAGGCAATTTTCATTTATTCCCATGTCTTTATGGCTAATGACCTGGATGTAATGTTAATGGGTGCAAGGGCAAAGAATAAATGTATTCCCAGTATCTCTTTCAACTCTGCTCTTTTGTATCCATCAACTATTGGGCTGTGAATCTGCCATTTGTATTGAAGTTCTGTTTTGCAAACTTATAAACTACTAGCATCTTAATCATATTATGCAACTAAAAAACAGGGCTGCAATTAAAGTTTGAAAATGGCAGATTAGAAGAGAAAAATGCTCTTCTTGAGAATTTCCTAAAAATTACTCATATATATATATTAAAAGTTTTAAAAAGGAGATTAAAACTAACAAAAACTAACATAAAGTAAAGAAAGAAAAGAAAATTCAGGAGAAAGAAAAAGACAAAAGTACAAAAGAGTAAAAAAAAATAGAAATAAAAATCCCAACAGAAAAATCTCTGGTTTCAATAGCACATTACAGGTAATCCCTAGGTTAAGAAGCAGTTCTATTCCTAAATCTAAATTAGTGCATATATTTGCATCCAAAGTTTTTCACACATCCACCATATATGATAAATTGACAATTTCTTGAAAATTACTAGTAAAATTAATAATTTTACTAGCAAAATTAATATTGTCTTTGTGCAGCTGTGCAGCTCTCAATATTCTCCAATCTCAGACCAATATTCTCTAAATCTCAGAAGGACATAAACACTAAACAGTTATAGCATTTCCACCTCCCCCAGGTTTTTTTTTTTATAATACTTATTTAGTAATGTTTGGACCTCATTGCAAACAATTTATGAAGTTGACAGAGGAATTATCTTAACAAAATTCTGTTCTGGAGAAATTGAACTAGAATCCATTTCTAGGACCCTAACTCTCTAAATGATTTAAACATTCATGTGAGGTTTAAATTGTATATATACATTGACTATGAAAAACAAAATCTCAAGACCAAAAACATAGTTGACATAAGGAAATAGCATAAACGAAGGCCAGGGACAAAGATACCTAGATAAATATCGTCTATTTCTGCTTTTTTTCCAAATGATCTTGAAAAAGTGCACCAGGCATAAACACATTATCAATTTTACCCCCTCCTTCAACAGAATATTGTTTTGTAAACCTACCAATAAATGGGATGAACGCAAGTGAATCCTCTGGTGTAGCCAAAGGGGCCACACCCCTCTTGTTTTCTTTATTGGCTGCCGGCGCCGTTGCAGGTGGATCACAAATGTCTGTTTCCTTTAGATCACTGGGGAAGACAAAATTCATCTGCCTTGCAGGAGGAGGCATTTTACGTCCAGTTGGGGGCTTCTGTCGAAGAACTACTTCATCTTTTCTCTCCTCAGCATCAGACTGTAGTGGTTCTATAGCTTGAGATGAAGAAATCTGCTCAAAAGATTTCACATCATTCTCCTGTTTGGCTGATCTTTGGTCCATTAGGATCTCTGGGCTGCTGGCCAGGAAAGGGTCTGGACAAGTAGAAGGAGCACTTGAAAGCACAGCAGTAGGCAAAGACTTCTCAACATAAGATGGTGTTGAGTGACTCAACTGCCTTTGAGAAATATTAAATGTTGGAAGGTCACCAAAAGTAGCATCGCGGAAAGAAAGAGCATGGAGTAAGCCAGTCCGACGCTGGAATGAAGGGCTGTAGCTTCGGTAGCCAATATAACCAGAGTCATCAATGCTCTGGAGGTTGGGCTGAGAAGGATGTTTTTGCACATGTACAGAGGGAGGATCTCTGGAAGAGGCAGAAGGAATACAAGTATTTGGATGATTAGGCTGGGCTCGGTTAATTTGCCCATGCTGGTAAAACCTGTCTGATGGCAATATGCACCTTCCATAACTAGGAGAAACCAAGTCAGCCTGTTCAAGAGCTTCCATGGATTGCCCGTATTTCATCAGATAGTTATCTGATCTTGCACGGTAAGTCCAGTTATCATGAGCTGAAGACTGGATTAAAGTTTCTTGGGAAGCACTATGAGACCAACCCCTGGAGGATGAAACGTCTCCCAGATGGTCTTGTGATACACTTCGGTAACGAGGTGGCATAGCACTGCATCGCTCCTCTGAAGAGCTTCGACGTGGTACTTGATTTGAGATCCAGTTGGACAAGGCCTGTTGGCATTCTAGACGGCTAATAGATTTGGGTCCAGCTCGAATGCATTCCCGTGAGGGCCTGCCCTCACGATGAGCATCCTTCAATCCACCATGTGGGTGATGATCAGGAAGATGTTTGGGGGGTCCATAGCAGCCGTGGTTGGGCATAGAGTAAGTGGAAGGAATGTAAGGTGAGGAAGAAGCTACAGAACCTGGACAACTGCTATTGGGGTACTGGGAGAAAGAACCAGAAGTTGGGATATGCCTTGGAATAGGTGCCCGTTGAGTCATTCCATACTGGACCTCCTCTGTACAGTGGGCAGGACTGGAATGGTTGCTAGTGAAATTTTGTTTGGATTCAGTCCAGGCACTTAGATGAGTTTTGTGAACTGCAGTGCTATTCAAAGGAGAAGATGGGCCTGAGGACCCTGAATGGTAGGACTGCCTATTATCCACCTGTTGTCCCTGGTAAATTTCAGCTGATGAAACATCCCGTCTTGACTGAAATGGATAATTTTTACGAGGATAGCATATAGGTGGTGGCTCAGGAATGCTCTGTGCCCCTCCAGAGTATGGTTCATTGCCCTTTAAGTATGCATCTTGAGAATACGCCTGGAAAAAGGAACAAATGGAAAACTGAGCTACTGAGTCAAATATTTATGTATACAGGTGAACAGGTTACAAATTATATGGAGACTATATTTTAAAATCACAGAGTACATAAATTCTATGACTTTTTATTAATAATATTTTTGTGAATTATCAATTACAATAATCAGGTTTGGAATTGATTATTTAGGCCATCAAGTTTGAATTTTTGTTCAGAGCAGGAATTCAAGTTAAAGTTGCAGATAGATAACTGTCTAGACCCAGCCGCACATATATAATGAAAGGAAAATTACCTTTCTGGGTAATTGATTTCATATTTGAACTGTTCTTACTATAAATACATTGTTTGTAATGCTCAATGAGTCTGCCTTCCTTAGATTAAATTGTAAATTAAATGATAGCTCTCTAGAAATTTGCATAGTTTCAACTCTCGTGATATTTTTAAAAACATAGTTATTTTCCCATTAGTTCAGGAAGGATACTTGTTGGCTACCATCAGTGATTTGTTAAGTTCCTTTTTTCTCTATTTTACATTGTAAGTTGCCCAGAGACATTCTGGACTTGGGGAGACCTTTATGTCCAATCGGGCAACCATCAACACTCTGAAATAAGATTTTTGTCCATGTAACATTTCAAGTATCTGAAGCGTGCTATCACATTCCACCCTCCAAAGTAATCTTTTCTCAAGACTAAATATATGAAGTTTCTTCATTGGCTTAGTTTCTAGTTCCTGGATCATCTTTTCTGAAAATATTCAATTTTTCAGAATCCCTTTTAAAGTATGATATTCAGAAATGGATACAATGCATGATGCACAGATCTGACAAAAACAAAAGAAATACTTAACTTCCCATAATTTGAAAATTATTCTTCAGTTAATGAAATCTAACATCTGTATTTGTCTCCTTTGCAACTATATTACTATAGTGGTGATTGATTAAGTTTACAATTGATCACAATTCCATTTTTTTCCACAAGTCCCATTAATAGGCTAATTATGCCCCATGATGTATTTTTCAATTTGATTTCAATTTTTTTGTTTCCTATATGAGCAATTTTATACTTTTAAATTTCATAATTACTTTCAGCTTGTTTTCCAACTTTCAAGGATCAGGATTGCAATTCTGGCGTCTAGTGTATTAACTTTGCTACCCAATTCTGTATATTTTTTCAGTTTGATAACCATTCCACCCATGCTTCACTCAAATCATCAATGAAAATATGTAAGAGCAGAAGACCTAGGACTGAGTCTTATAACACTCCATTTGATGAAGAAATATTGTGCTTTCTTTGAGTTGGATTTTAAAGCTGTCTTCATATCCACTTGTCATTCCATCAAACCCACAATTAACCAGCTTGCTAATCAGGATGTTATGTTTCAGATGTGGCTGTGTATTCTAGCATTACACATTGCAGTTCAGCAATGGAATACTTTAAGGCCAAATCTAGCAGTCAGAAATGTTTTCCTTAGCAATCCAGACGCCAAGTCAGCAACAGTAAAGGAGCCAGGAATTGCAGTATGAAGGAAAACTACAACTATAGTGTTTAAGAGGACAGGTGCCTTAAATGATCATATTTTATTCAAGAGTTGTCCCTTTAGCAAAACTAGCTGCTAATACTAGTGATCTAAGGCAAACCATAAAAATATTTTTGGAAGTTAAAAATGGAAGAACTTTAAACTTTTATAATTCCCTGTCTGTGCCTCCTTCTGTAAAGAGTATGCATCCCACATATGCTGAACTTAATCTCTGAGGAACTTTCTTTCTCTTCCACTAGACCTTCATATTTGTTAGCATCACCATTCTTCAGCTTCTTCATCCTCTTTCCAGTTGACCCTATTATCTGCACCAGTGGTGGGTTTCAATTTTTTTTAGAACCTCTTTGGTAGGTGTGGCCTGCTTTGTGAGAGTGGCTTGTCAACCATGTGACTGGGTGGGCATGGCCAACTTGCAAAATGTGGTGAAACTCACTTAACAACACTCTTGCTTAGCAACCAAAATGTTGGCTCAGAAACTCTGGCGTTTGAAGCACGCAGATCTTAAAGCTGTCAAGTTACAAGACCCTTGCACCCCTAACCCTTTAGAGAAAAAAAACCCAGGGGTGTTGACAGTTTTAAGACTTGTGGACTTCAACTCCCAGAATTCCTCCTCCAGTCATGTTGGCTCAGGAACTCTGGCATTGAAGTGTGCAAGTCTTAAAGCTGTCAAGTTACAAGACCCTTACACCCCTAATCCTTTAGAAAAAAAACTCTAGGGATGTTCAAACTTGACAGCTTTAAGACTTTAAGGTTTAGATAGGACTCTTAGAGGTGGGCGGGGTGATTGGTGAGCCAGCTAATCAGTGAGTGGTGGATGGAGCAAGTGTGGTGCAGACGAGGGGGGGGAGGGGAACTGGAACCGGTTCTAAACAGCACAGTAGATTTGTGGAATCTCTTCCATAGAAGAGGTAAGAACTGGCAGGAACCCACCTCTGATCTGCACCTTCCAGGAGACCTTCCAGTTTCTAGAGAATAAGATGCTTCTGGACAGTGCCATAATCACAAATGTTTTCCTTACTACGTACTTACAAATTCACCAGATGTTTATACAGCAGTTCAATCAATTTAGACAGTAAAAAAGTTATGGATCATTTAGTTCATATTATTTTAGAACATTTTGTCAACTTCTTGTTTTTGGCATGTTTGTAAGTATGTCAATTTGATCAACAAAACAGCAGCAAAGATACAATTGTGGATGCAAAAGCATCCAATAAGATTTTGAAAAAGAGTAGCTGGTGTTCCACTACCTATACTTTTCTTTACTGGCTTTCCGAGAAGGCAAGAAACTTTGTTGTGGTTACAAAACTAAGGAAGAACCATGACATTTTTAAAATTTATTATTAAATTGATACTCCACCCATCTCACAGTGTGAGGCAACTCAAGATATGTCAGTTCTCTGGCAGGCAAGGTTTTAGAGTGAGGTTTTTTTTTTAGAGTTTATTTCATTTGTATGCCGCCCTTTTCCCTAAGGGGACTCAGGGCGGCTCACAGCTCAAAAAGGGAAGGGGGGATACAGACAGTTTAGTAACAACACAAAACAATACATAATTAAAAAGCACAACAGTCATACCATTCGAACTAGGGGCAGCGAATCTTTAGCCCCAGGCCTGTCGGAACAGCCAGGTTTTGAGGGCTATGCGGAAGGCCTGGAGGGTGGTGAGGGTACGAATCTCCACGGGGAGTTCGTTCCAAAGGGTCGGGGCAGCCACAGAGAAGGCTCTCCTCCTGGTAGTCGCCAGTCGACACTGGCCGGCAGATGGAATTCAGAGGAGGCCTAGTCTGTGGGATCTAATTGGTCTAGTGGAGGGAATTGGCAGTAGGCGGTCTCTCAAGTACCCAGGTCCAATACCATGAAGGGCTTTATAAGTGACGACTAGCGCCTTGAAGCGTATCCGGACAAGGTGACAATAAACCCAAAGAATGGGAAATATTAAAAGGGCTGGCCACCAAGGGAGAGTTACCCAGAACTCTCCAAAACAAGGCCCCAATACTCCTAAAAGTGAACCTCTTAACTTCTACTAACATCAGAGATCTATCGGGAGAGAATGTTGATGGTTCCCCCCAAAAAGTGATGCAGTGTCACTTTGGTAGATATGTTTTTTCCTCAGAAATAATTCCCATTATGTTTAGTGCTGCATGCTCCACCAAAGTAAACATAGCACTGCAGCCTTGTATTTCTTTTTCATCTTATTTAAACATACCATTCTACAAACCTGTTTTAAAGTATTAAAGTCAACTCCCTCTCTCTTTCCTCAACCACCAGATTCCCTACAGTTGGAGTTTAGGAAAGTCGAAAATAACATTGGAGATTTGCCAGGAAGTTGCTAGTATTTAAAATCCTTACAGAAATGGATGCTATTTATATATTTTGGAGAAACTTGAAGTTATGACAATTAGGTATCAGGATAAGGCTATGTCTCTCATTAAAGAGAAAGGAAGAAAATTAAGAAATGTATAAATCTCTGAACTTCAGAATGGAAAACAAGCTGACTCATTTCCATCTAACATTCTGCAAGTTGGCAGTCATACTAGGAAAGAAAAGTAAGTTGCATCATACTGAAAAATGTCTGATCAGGTTTGCTGAGAGATGGCCTGGAAGAATACTGGTGTGGCTTTTATCCCACCTCACAAATGTCTCTTTTCCCTAAACTGTCACCTAAGCATGAAAAGACCTTTGTTAGATAATAATAAAGTCCTAATACCGTGCTTGAAAATAAAATAAAAAAAGATCTCAACTGCTCGTGGCCTAGCCATTCTATTACACACTGGAAACTTGCCCTTGATAGATGAAACCACATTTCAGGCCAGGGACTTGTCAAGTTCCAAAAAAGGAGTTATGTTTAAACCAGACCTTGGCTTAAAGGAGCCATAAGAATGAAAAGAGAAAAGAGAAGAAAAAAAGAAAAGAAAAGAAAAGAAAAGAAAAGAAAAGAAAAGAAAGGCTAGTTACTATGCTATATGGTATTTGTTTATTTCTGCCTGGCAGCAGCTCCTGTGAAATTAATTAAATACTCAACTCCTCTTGCTTAATCCTGATGCAGGATAACAAGTCCATTAAAATATATACGCACTCTATTTTACATGCTGCTCAGAAGTGGCTAGGCTTCTCCTTAAATCCAAATTCTGCCTTTCTGTCTGCCAGGAAAAAGTCACCCTAGTTCTGGTCGGGATCTGGCCCAACATAAATAGCACAATGTTTATTTATATGGGGATGAAACGCTTAGAATTTAAAATCATTACCTTTGTCTTCTCTGTTGTATTTCTAGTCTTGTATTTTTGTTGCGCATTCTCGGTCTCCCTTCTTCAAAAAGAGAAATGTTCCCTTCCCCTGGAAATCTCTAATGCTCAAGCTAATATTTCTTCTCTTTCTCAATCTTCCTTTTAAGTGTTGCTTTCAGGGGAAAAAAATGACATAAACTAGGACGCCTCAATGTGGGAGGGGTGAAGAGAGCCAAGAATGTCTCTTAATGCATCCTGTCAAGAGTAACTCTGTAACCCAGGCTCTGTCATTGGCTGGCTAAGCCGGCTTCCGCACCACAGGAATGCCGACACACCCCTGATGAGGCACCAGGATAGGGGGAAACCCACACAAAGGTTCCTTTGCTATGAGACGTGTAAAAGCAAAAGCAACTTGGGGTAACAGCGCCTTGCACAGACCTGCAGTTATTGCATCTCTGGCTGTAAACCCTTCTGCCAATGCTTAATTGTAGGCAGAGTAGTGCTCGATACAATTTCAAAATGCCTTTGTTCAAATTTGGAAGTTATTGGGAGGCTATTATAACAGAAGCTCCTGTAATTGTGATAGATAGATAGATAGATAGATAGATAGATAGATAGATAGATAGATAGATAGATAGATAGATAGATAGATAGATAGATAGATAGATAGGATAGAATTGAAGAGAAAAAGAACAAAGTAAACAAGGAGGTGGAAAAAAAGCAAAAGAAATAGGAAGCTGCTAATTGCTGTTTTTTTTGCAATTAATGCAACCTATTTCCCCAAGGCTCTGAAACAGGAATGGGTAATCTGTCACACTTCCAATATTGCTCAGCTCCAACTCCCAGGAGCCATGGTCAATGGGTCTAATTTTAAGAGATGTTGATACTTTTATAGTAGCACCATCTGAAGCAAGTCAGCTCTACCAAGCTAACGGATTCAAGCAAACAGGGGGCTCTACTTAATCCTCTGACTTTAATACCACCTCATTTAGAATTCTAGCTATGAACTAGAATTCTAGTCCAAAACTTGTACATCCTTTTAAGGGCCCAATAAAAATGGGTTTTGTTGTTTGCTCAATTAAAAAAAAAACACCCCATCATGGACTAATAAAGTACAGTGTTTTCTTTGTTTGCTCTTATACTCTGTGTATCAACCTAGGATATTCATTCCAATTTGTAAATCACCTTGGTTGTCTTCATTTTATTTATAACCCTGAAAGAATGAGTCTTTTGGTATTCTCAGTTTGTTGAAGAGAAAATACAAGAGTTCTTTCTTTGGGCTCAAAAGGAGCCATGAGCAAGATAGTAGTCACTGAGTCTTAGTGTATAACATGAATAACACTAGTTCCCTCTGCAAAGAGAAAACCATGTTCTAAGCACAAAGTCAATCCAGATGGAGATGTTATAAATATGGAATATGTCTGTGCATTAAGTATAGAATAATTTCTAGAATGAAATACCTACAAATCTCAATTCTTATTTCAGAAAAAAATAAAGAAAACTTCTATCCTTTATCTATGAAGATAAGCTTCAAAGCCCAGAGAAAAGATTCTATTTTTTATTACTTGCAGTAGAAACTATTATCTATAATAAACCTTAGCTGAAATTAAAATTTATAGTTAATGTTACAAAATGCATATATATTAAAATACAAACAAGCATCTTCTGGTGAGAATGGAAGACCAGCTCATTTTAAAACTCACACAAGGAAAACCTTGAGCATTGGAAAGGAATAATGAAAACAAGGGGGATTCTTCACAAACACCAAGGACACTGCTATTACTTTGCTAAATGATGTATTCTTCTTCAGCACCCCTCCCTAAAAGAGAACATTAATGATAACATTGATCCTGCCAATATTATTTGTATTATATATTGTTCTGGATGGTGCAATCTAATTTTTGACCTAACTATGTGTCGTACGTAAAAAAACACATTTTTTCCCAATGGTTTCAGAAATAAAAACACAGAATTAGTGGGAAATTATAAACAGGGCTCTTTAAGCCCTGCTTCTTTCCTCTAGGTTTTCAACTACCATTCTTTGTCCCCAAATGCCTCATCCCTGAAGGTTTTCTTCCATTTAAATCAATAGACACCAGTGTGTTAGTGTGTTTTTGTATGTGTTTGTGTGTCTTTGTACTTGTGTATGCATAGGTACACTTAAACCCTCAAAAGATACTTGGTGAAAATATCATTAAGCCCAACTTGCTTTCAAATCAACAGTTAGGAGAATATCTCCTGGCCCTGGCAAATAACTCACCAGTTGCAGAATATCCTCATCTTTTGGCATAATGGAGAGTTCCAAAGCATCTTCACTGCAGAAGAGAGAAGGCATTTTTTAAAAGATTAATGATGAATAGGAATTTTCTACCACACTGCACTGTAACAAAGCTCAAGCAAGGCTGTGCTCAAAGGCAGACATTAGATCTGATACCTAGATTCCAAATTGGCAAGATTGCCACCACACATTTGGGTTCTGTTTGACTTGGTGTCCTGCAAATGTGTGGGAATATGCTCTCCCCGTTAACCTTAGCATTGTGGCTGTACTGGTAGATAAGATAGGGATTGTAATTTAATGCATCCATCAAACCTCAGTTTAGAAAGAGTTTAAAGGATTACTTTAAAAACCCCATGCACAAGCACACAAGATTGCTAAATTAAGAGTCTAGAATTATTTAAGGGCACTGTTGTTCTCCATATACACTGACTCTTGACTATATAGTCAAATCTCTTTTACCCAAACCAATACCAGTATGCCATGTCAAACAAAAACAAGAACAAGAATAAGTTAATAAAAATACAATGACAGGGACGATAGGCACGTTAGTGCATTTATGCATGCCCTCTATATTATCAGAAAGTATTAAAGAAAAAAAAATAAGAATGGGGATATGGTAACCAGCAGTTGCTGAACTACCAGTCCTACCATCCTTCACAATAGGCCTAGTGGGTGTGGCACTGCTTGGAGATGAAGTTGAGTTACACCTAGAGAAATATAGATTCCTCACCTCTGTTCCATTTAATAAAAGGATGGAGAGAAGGAAATGCTTTTTTTTTCTGTGCATAATATTTTTCCATAAAACCAATAGACAAGATACTAATATTGCTCTTCTATTTGGGTTTCAGATACTTTTAATTACAGGGGTCAGCAATCTTTCCAGAAAATAAATACCTTCAGTAATACCTTCAGTCAATTTTGCCTAAGCACCTTTTAGTGTATTTTTAATAGGATGAAAATCTCACGAGAACATAAGGTTCTCCCTAAAGATGACTTTCTCATGAGATCTCGTTCTCCTCCATCCTTTCAGCAAACTAATCACACTGCAACATTTTTGTGGTCTATCTGAACCCAACATTAATTATTAATACAAATGGAAAAGCTTTTTTTCTTTTAAAAAAAGGAACAGAATAAAAGTCTAATTAAAACATCAGAAGTTAAACGTACCAGGACAATCACAATGTGATATTATACACTTTACTGATTAGTCAATTGATCATATCAAATAGGAGCATCAGCCACAGTGTTTTACAATAAAATCAGAAAAGATTACAGTGAAGTAGGTTAAAATAGCTGCAGTGAGATAAAATAGAATAAAATCTAATAGTTAAGATAAAGTGAAGATAAAATATAAGATAAAATAGTATAAGGCAAAAAAGAAGAGAACTTTATTAAATCATTTGACTATGTAAAACTGATATAAAAATTCAAATAATAAGAAAACAAAACTTTATAATGCATAATCATCCCTACAATTAAACCCAATTTTTACAAAGGTATTCTGTCCTCTTTGAGATAGCCTTTGAAATGAAGATTATTGATCGTGTGCAGGTTAGTTCCCTAAAATAAGCAAGACTTCCCAATGTCTCCCAATATTTTTTAGTTTTGAAATTAAAGGTCCAAATAAGCTGCCCCTTCTCGATAGTAAAATTTGCTGTCAACAAAAATGTGTCAGGTATCTTCAGTGGGAGGTGCTTCACAAATGCACAATCTTTCTTCAATTGGGACTCCCTTGCTTTACCATGAAGTAAAGTCGAGTTATGCTCTAGAGAAACCACTTCTGAGATGTTGAGGCATGTAATTTTTAAAATGTTTTTTCTAAGCCTGATTTGTGTTCAGCCAGACACTTCAAAAACTTGACACATTTAAGTACTGCAATATTATCTTGGGCAGCCACATGAAGGCACCTATAGTCTTTTCTTTTCTGTGCCTTTCCATCCCAGTTCTTCCTTGATCAATAGACCAATAGACCCTTATTGCATGGTCTTTTTTTTTTCTTAGTTTCTATGCTGGGGTGGCCCAGGAGTTAAATCCAGGTATCGAGATTTATTCATCCCCAGCTGTTAACCAGATCTTTTATACTGCGACCAGACCAAAATTGTATAGATAGATAGATCACATAGTTTGTTCTTCCATTCTTCTACATTCTACGTTAATATAGGAGCACCAGATAAAAAACTGGCAGCTATGATTTCATATTGCTGTGTATATAGCAATGGCAAATCCAGCCTATACATCTGGCTGAGTGAAGAACCATAATAATAACTTTAATAGAAAAGTATTTATTTCAATATGTTTACTCAGAGGTAGAAGGCAAGATTATTTAGCCAGTTTCACATTATAGGCATGTGAAATTTCACTTTCATTGGTGGTTCCAAGTTGCTTCACAGTATAGGAATCAGTATTGACTAAGAAAATGATTAAGTGTATGGGGAGCAAGGATTTCACAATATTTATTACAGTATTTAAATTAAGTTAGCCTATGTCCTGGCTCTTCCCTATTTGTCCTGGCTCTGAATATTTGTCATAGGTAAATATGGATCTCAGCTTCTGCTTTAGGTGTTTTCAAAACCTCCACACCTCAAAGGGGTTTTTAATGCCTTCTAGAAAGTGTCTCCAGGTGAGGAGAGCTCACTGCATATAAATGTCCTTTTTCCAGGCTGCCCATCTGCACTTGGAATTGGACAGTTTTCTAGAATTGTAAGCACATAGATGCAACATCCCTTTCTGAAGAAAACCCTGACTGCTACCAGTGGTGTATTAACCATTAACAGACTAAGCACATGCTTAGGGCACCAGGCCCAAAGGGGCACCACAAAGTTGAGAAAGAAAAAAAAATTCAATGTAGCTTGGCTTTGTTTGTACAGTATATACAAAGGAGGGGGGGGGGCACCAAGATTTGTCAGCGCTTACAATACCAGTGAAACTTACTCCGCCACTGACTACCACATCGGCTTGTTGCATGTCGCATTTGAGTCTGGGTGTTTTAGCATGGGCTTGGCTATGAATAGACATTTAATTTTTTCAAAAGCTGCTTGGCCTTCCATTGTTCATTTAAGGGGCTGGCTCGGCTTAGGTTTTCCCTCTCCCTTTGTCTTTAGGAGGTTAGTAATAACGAATGCTATTTGAGTGAATGAGGGGATGAATTGCCAATAGAAGTTAGCAAATCCCTAGAAGTTTTGGAACGGTTTTCGGGTATGCGGGCTCCCCCATTCTAGTATCATTCACACCTTCATCTCCACCTCCTTATGGAAAAATATTCAATTAACCCAAAAAGTCAATCTTATCCTTGTGGAACTCCTTGGAGGGTTTTGTGTATAATTGAGTGGCATGGAGGTTTTTCAGTACTACCCTGACCAGCTTCACTGCTCCTCCAGTTTCATTGTAAATCAGAATATCAGCTAAGTAAACTAGGACCCATTTATGCAAATGTTCATGCAGGACTTTGTTAATTAATTGCATGAAGACTGCAAGAGCCCCTTGTAGCTCAAGAGGCAACACTCACAATTGGAAGCACTCCAAGAGGTAATTGAGGACTGTTGTCTACACATTTCCTTCTTTAATGGATACTCGGTAATGTGCTTCCCTGAGGTCTAATTTTGTCAATATGTTCCCTTTGGTTAGGTGGCAAGGAGATGTTTTCAACACAAATGGTGTTTAGCCATAGTAATTCACACATAGGCAAAGGAAACCAGCTCCCCCCACCCCAAAAAAAAATAGTACATGCAGTGCCATACGGGATTTTGCTGGCTGAATGAAACCCTGTGTTAGATTCTTATCTATAAAGGATTGGAGTTCATCCCTTGGAGTCAAAGAGTATAATTTTGGCTTCAGTAATTTTGCTACCAGCAGTATCTCTATGGAACAGTCTGTGAGGGTGGGTGATTGGTGGTATGTCTGAATCCTTCTCATTGAATACTTGTCTCAAGTCCCAGTGCTGTTTGGGGATCAAAAGGGGGCATCTTTCCTGTTCACATGCCTTTTTTAGAAAAACAGTTTTTAATTCCTGTAATATATCCTGCTCCTTCTAAATGCAGTTGAAAGAGTCCAGTTGAGCATGTTGAAATCACACAGATTAGAGCCTTTCCCTTGATTGCCATCTGGGTTATCTCCTCAACTCAAATGCTATCAGAATTCTCTGGAAGCCTGTATATGACATCAATTCTGATTGTCTGAGCCTTCTCTAGTTTGTCATCAAATCCACAGAGTTTCAAGTAGATCACATGTTTTCTGAAATAGTTGTAGTTTTATGCCTTTTTTGACGTAAATGGCAACTCCAATCCATCCCATTTTCTACTGCCCTTTCTGCATACTATGTAGCCTGCAATACTTATATCCCAATCATTTGAATCCCTGAACCATGTCTCTTTAATTGCAACATGAACCATGCTATCTCTGGACATAACAGCTATTAGTTCACAAAGATTGTTGCCTAAACCAGGGGTCTCCAACCTTGGCCACTTTAAGACTTGTGGACTTTAATTCCTAAAGCTGGGTGAGGAATTCTGGGAGTTGAAGTCCACAACTCTTAAAGTGGCCAAGGTTGAAGACCCCTGGCCTAAACTGTGAGCATTAGTGTACATGATATGGCACACACTATCAAAATCTTGATATATTTTTTCTTAGCAGCGATTTCAATACTATTAATCACACAAACATCTATCTTAGAAACAATGACAACCCCATTAGTTTTAGATTGTTGGAGCAGAAATATTCTGTATCAATTAATTATTTGTCCCCATTATTCAGTTTAAATGCTTCTCCAGAACACCCCAAATTTAATACTAAGTAGCTCTTTTTGTGATGGACTCAAACCATCTCTCCTATTCACCTTTATATCAGACCAACTGCAAATAATATGACCAAAATAACAAAAGCCATCAACTTTACACCACTCTTTTAGCCACATATTGAACTGTAATAAGTGCTGATTCTCCCCCACCCCCTTGCTCCTTATATACAGGTAAAACCTCTACAATAATAAGACTGAAGTCTACCCTGCTATGTTCCTGGCCCAAACTCTGGAAATATTTCTGC